ATATTGATAAATCCAAATTACAAATATATTTTTGTAAATTATACAATTTAAGGTAATACAATTTTATCTATTTATATTAAATTAAAATATAATTATCACTTATTTAAATGAAATAATAAAAAAATATATACTTACTGGCATAATTTATTAACCCATACAAAACAGCCTGGCCATGTTTCATTAAACATAATAGCTCGTGCTAAATTTGATTTAATTTCGGCTAATAAAGTTTTTGATTCTATTTCTAAATCATCCACATAAGGCAACAATTTATTATATATAAATTTTTTAAAATGAACATCTTCTATACTTTTGTAAATACAAATATGTGCGAGATCCTTGTTCATTATTAGTTAAAATATCTTATTATTACAAGCACAAAAAGTAGAAATAGATGTAGTCTATGAAAGAGCACACGTTACAATGCAAAATCATCTATATTATTGAGTCAGTAACAACTTGCTTATTCTGCTTCGATTTTATCGAGTCATGTTTTACATCTAAGGAGCCATATTTGATGTACATACAAGAAGCGTGAAAGAAAATTACTATAAAGTTAGAGAAATATCGAGTTTTCAATTCATTGATTATCATATACTCATTAGATTATCGATATTAAAATATAGTTTAAAAAATATATCATAGTTTTCATATGAAGTATATAATTAAATAAATAAAAAGTTATATTTATTTTTATAGGAAATATAGTTTCTTAATTTTTATATATTCACAATTTTGTACAATAATATAAAAATTATATAGAGTTTTTTTCAAAATATAGTTTTTCAATCATTAATTATGTATTAATAAATTATTATTGAATTTAAACTTAAAGTAAAATTTAAATATAAAAAAATAAAAAAATCAAATATATTTATTACTTATGATATTCTATTATAATCACAGATACATAAAAAATAATTTCACTAAATCCAAACATATGGCGGCAGTTGCAGTAAATATATAAACGCAAGTATTGTCACATAAGAATGTGATATTATCTTAATCTCGTGTTGATGTGTTATTTTATGTGAATTTTATGCAATATAAATGAAACAATATTATATTTTTTTTACTTTTTCTTCTTAAATAAAAAAATTAAGTTTTTTAATTGAAAATTAATATGTAATCTTTAAAATAAATATATGAATAAGGTTAAGATAAGTTAATAGCCCATATTAAAAGAACATTTTATTTTCTTTGAAAAATCTAAAGATTTAATTTTCAAATGTTATTGATAATTTAATTTAATTTAGAATAATACTATTTTGATAACACTATATTGTGTAAAAAATGAGGACTAGAAAAACATTAGCAATTCTTAGTGCAGGTTTAATTCTTGCTTGTTGTGGTATGTTATATATAATAATGGATTTAACATTTTTTCCACCTGGACAAGGATCTAAACTGTCTATAAATGATGTAAGTGTAAGTGATATAAATATCTGTAAGTCTATAATAAATTATGATGTTATTATGATTATATTATTATGATTATATTATTATGATTATACTAGTTTATGATGATAAATGAAAAAAATTTATTGTTTTATATATATTTTCAGAATCAATGGCTACACTTTGAAAATAGATTAGCAAAATTAGAAAAAGATTTCAATAAGCATCATGAAGTAATGAATGCTTTGAGAGAAGTGGCTGAAGCAAAACATTTTGTGCCTTTAGCCTATTCTATAAATCTTTCTAATCAATCTATATCATCTTTATCATCTGTTCCTCATTTAGGAAAAGTACTTAAATGTAATTTTAACATACAGAAAATTCCTGAAGTAGACATTCAAATGTTAGAGATATATAGACAATTAGAATTTGATAATGTGGATGGTGGAGTTTGGAAACAAGGATGGAATATTACATATGATGAAAAACAATGGCATCCAAATAGAAAACTAAAAGTTTTTGTTGTTCCACATTCTCACAATGATCCTGGATGGCTTAATACCTTTGAAAAATATTATGCATTTCAAACACAAAATATATTAAATAATATGGTAATAAAATTGGCAGAAGATAGAAGACGTAAATTTATTTGGGCAGAAATATCATTTTTCCAACTTTGGTGGGAAGATCAATCTAAAACAATTCGTAATTTAGTTAGACGTTTAATTCATGATGGTCAATTGGAAATTGTATCAGGAGGTTGGGTTATGCCAGATGAATCTGTTTCTCATTGGATATCTCAGCTTACACAACTTACAGAAGGACATCAATGGTTAAAATATAATTTAGATTACACACCAAATTCAGGCTGGGCTATTGATCCATTTGGTCTTTCTCCAACTATGCCATACCTACTAAAAAAAGCAGGATTGGAAAATGTATTGATTCAAAGAGTTCATTATTCAGTTAAAAAAAGATTAGCTAGAAAAAAACAATTAGAGTTTCGCTGGAGACAATTATGGGATAATGATGGATCAACCGAAATTTTTACACATATAATGCCATTTTATAGTTATGATGTACCACATACTTGTGGTCCAGACCCAAAAATATGTTGTCAATTTGATTTCTATAGATTACGTACTTTTGGATTAAGTTGTCCATGGAAAATAGCTCCAAAAACCATAACTAAATCAAACATTGCAGAAAGATCTGCCCTTTTATTAGATCAATATCGTAAAAAAGCTCAACTTTTTAAAACTGATGTAGTATTAGTACCATTAGGAGATGATTTTAGATATACTCATTTTACTGAATGGGATGCTCAGTATAAAAATTATCAAAATCTTTTTGATTATATGAATCAGAATCAACAAATGAATGTTCAGATAAAATTTGGTACATTAAGCGATTACTTTGATGCAATTAGGGAAAAACATAATTTAAATGAATTTCCTACTTTATCAGGAGATTTTTTTACATATTCTGATAGAGATGATCATTATTGGAGTGGATATTATACATCAAGGTACACTCAGATTAAAATTAATTATAATAGATTGCCAATCATAATGACATATTTATTAAATATATTTTAGACCTTTCCACAAACGATTAGATCGTGTATTATTGAGTTTATTGAGAGCAACAGAAATATTAACAACTATAGGTTGGACTAAAGGTAATGATAATTTAGTAGAAGGTGCTCTTGCACAACGTTTAAGCAAAGCAAGGATGTGGCATTCTTTGTTTCAACATCATGATGGTATTACTGGTACAGCCAGAGATGAAGTAGTTATAGATTATGCCAAGAAGATGATAATGGCCTTAAATAATTCTGCACATGTATTACAACAATCAATGGTTCATTTATTAAAAACACCGCAAGAAATAACTGTTAATACAGATGCTGTGTATATTTCACTTGATGAATCTAGGTTTAATAAAAATTTATAAACATTTTTGGAGATATAATAAATTTTATATTTAAATATAAAAGATTAATTTTTCATGTTTTAGATTACATCATACAAGTGCTGGAGATAAACATATACTAATTTTAAGAGATGAAAATCCCTTAAAAAAAATTATTTTATATAATTCTATTCCAAGACAAAGAACAAAAGTACAGACATTAATTGTATCTACACCATATGTTAAAGTTACTGATCGTATGGGTCAACCAGTGCAATGTCAAGTTTCTCCAATTTGGATTGGACCTGCTGCATTAACTGTTGCTAGATATGAACTGTCATTTCTAGTCACTGTACCTGGATTTGGTATTACAACATATATAATTCATGCTTTATCTAAATCATCATTTCCACAGTATGTTAATTTTTAAATATTTATAAAATATTTATTTTTGCTCAATATTTATTTTTTTATCATTTATTATGTGCAGAGAAGTACATCCTGCAAATGTGATAGTTTATAATACAGATATTAGTCTTCCAAAGATACCAGGTTTTAATCAAATTCAAATAATACCAAATGCACAAGAATTTTCAATTATGCAACGACCAGAATTATCTGCATCTTTTGGAAAATCAGGTCTTTTGAAAGCTTTAAGAGTCAGTAATATGACAGTTCCTATTCATTTAGAATTTGTTAAATATGGTACTAGAGCTGGTAAAGATAAAAGTGGAGCTTATTTATTTCTACCTGATAAACCAGAACCAGATTTGGTACATGTAGATAATAAATGTATTATACATTTAATAACTGGACCGATTGTATCCAAAGTATTTGTGGAATTTGCACATGTACGTCACACATGTATATTGTATAATTCTCCGGGTAGTGATGGACTTGGTTTACATATTCATAATGAAATCAACATATCAGAAACACAAAATTATGAATTTGTTATGAGATTAAATACAGATATAGCTTCAGGAGATCAATTTTATACAGATTTAAATGGCCTTAATGTAAGTATTAATGTTTAAAATATTTTATCTTCACTAATTAATATTTAAGAGAATAATCATTATTTAGATGATTAAACGTCAAAGATTTCCAAAGCTTCCTACACAAGGAAACTATTATCCAATGGCAGCTAGTACGTATATAGAAGATAAAAGAGTTAGATTAACAGTTGTAACAGCACAACCATTAGGTGTAAGTTCTATGGCATCTGGGCAAATTGAAGTATGTATTTACTATTTTGTCATTTATATAAAAAAATAATAATATGATATATATATATAATATTTTTATTTAGATTATGCAAGATAGAAGATTACTTCAAGATGATAATAGAGGGCTTGGTCAAGGTATAACTGATAATTTATTAACAAATCATTTATTTATGTTTATTCTTGAAAAAAGAAAGCCTTTTTGTACATCTTCTACACCACCGACAAATCATCCATCAGGAGTACTATCATTGTATGGTCATTTAACATCAGAAGAGTTATTATATCCTATAATTGCAATGCATCCACGTAATTCTTTAACTTTTAATTTAAATCCATATTTTTCCCCGCTTCGTTACGATTTTCCTGCAGATTTAAGCGTTGTTAGTTTTCGAGTATTTCCTATTCCTGAAGGAGCTGGTAAAGGTATTGGAATGGTTTTACATCAAGCAGCTTTAGATATGTGTTGGAATGACAATTCTTATTTACGTCATTTTAATGTTTCTGAATCTGTAGAAGTTGATTTAACAAAGTTCCTTAATTATATAGATGATTGGATTATTAGTAAAGCTCCTTTGACATTCCATAATGTAGGGCCTTCATTGAAATCACCTATTGTTAACTTATGTCCACATCAAATATTACCAATTTTATTACATAAGACACAATCTTAGACATAGAATTTAATAATATCATGGAATTACTGAAATGAACTTTGTTTTCTACTCATTGTTCCACTATCAACGGCCTTACTCAAAATAATATAATCCAATTGATCTGATGCTGGTGGACTGGTTTTATCTATCTTATAGCTGTAACAATATTGGTTGAAATTAAGTATGATCATTATTATGATAGAAATTGTTATTTTTATTTTATTGATTATGAAATTTGATTTATCTATATAAAAATTATAATTTGTGTTATAAGTATATATAAAGTATACAAAGCATATATAAAGTATAAAAAATTTTCATACAAAATTTTTCTTACTGTGATTTACTGTTTATGATATTATAATTATTATATTAAATATAAAGAAATATGAAATAGTTCTGCAATATTGTTTAATAAGCATTTAATTGAAATTAATGATCTAATAGATATAAATGCAATAGATCTAATATGTAATGCAAGAATATAGAAATATATACTCTTGTATTTGTTTTTTTACTATTATATTAAAAGATGAAATGTTAGTTTTTGTAAGATATTTTCATGCTAGTCGTATTATTATTTTAGAAAATGTAATTTTGTACATCTCAAATGTATGTATATTAATTATTAAAAAATCTATAATAAAATTAAAAAAGTAGTAATCTATTTTTTTTTATGTTATTCATATAATATGTATAATATATACATTTTTTATTATATACTTGTATTTTAATAAAATTACATAATTATAAATTATATTTACCCAAGAGAATAAAAAAAATGCATAGCAGATGGATTATGTTTAAATACAGTTAAAATTACTTTACGCATTTTATTTTCTGATGCCATAGATTCAAGTGCAAACATTATAAAATGACCAAGTCCTTTCCTTCGTATTGTAGATTCCAATTGTATTTCATAACTTCAAAAAGAAAATAAATTGAGCTTTTGATTTTTTATAATTTTTAAATATATACAAGTATAAAAAAATTTACATACCAATATAATACTTCTTCTCTATAATCAACATCAAATCGAAAATGAGAAAATCCAACAAATTTATCATTAGATGATGCAATTAAATACCAAGCTGTTGATTCTGTTAATTCTTTTTGCTTAGCAATTGGATCCCAACCCCAATTACTTTGTTCATATAAAGATTTCATATTACGTTCCATAATATCAAATATCCAAGATATACATTTAGAATTTGCATCTTTGGCTCTCATACAAGAAAGTTCTATAATTTCATTATCTTTTGTTACATATTTATGAAAGAAATGTAGATGTTCTATAGGATTTTTCACAGAGTTTGCTTTGTCAACTAAGTTTTTTGCAATAGCTTCTTTTTCTACCAAAAGTTGACGTCTTGTTTTCCTTTTCTAAGTAAAGTTAATTATTATATACTATATATTTTTTATTATTATAAGCTAATTATAACTTTAGTTATAATTAAAAATACATTAATTACAGACAAACTATGTATAAATATATATAATATAATAAAATAAAATAAATT